GAGGAGAGGGGAGGCAGCCTTTACGCTCCGGTTTAATCATATTTTGGCAGCTTCGCAGTTCTCTTTCCCCCCTCTGCCCCCCCCCCACCACACACATGTAATAAAATATGGCAATGCATTGAATTGACTGTCCCCCCCCTTCCCGGAACCCCTTAAACCACAGTCCTAGGCATTTCATACACGTTAGCAACCCGATTTTCTGAAAAACCCCAAGTCATCCCCAACCCCACACAGCACAAGGAGGAAAGTGAGAGAGAGGAGAGAGAGAGAGAGAGAGAGAGAGAGAGAGCAAAAAAAAAATACTGTAAGCAAACATACCAAAACCATATTTGCCTTGTTCAAGGTCCCAAACCGCTTGCATCTTCCTCCTAAAACTGGAATAACTCTCCTTTAGTTTGGCGGGGTGAAATAAGCGCTTTGTTGGACCCCTGAAAAGATGTGTCTTTGATAATTAAAGAGACTCTCTTCCTCGGTGTTTGTCTAAGCGATTGTGCAAACTGATGGAAAGTGAGCGCTAGCCGGCAGGGAACCGGAGGAAAGGTGAAGGGAAAGCTCTTCCACCTGGAGGAAGTGCTTCCCCATGTAACTGGCGCTCTCAGCCTCCGCAACCCCTGCACACTAACTTTACAGAGAGGAGGTTTCAGGGAGCTTCCACATAGCTGCTGAGGAATGCAAGCCTCGCCTTTAAGAAAAAAAAACCCCAAACCGTAGGTAGGAGATGTCTGGAGTGATCCTTGTCTCTCATCTCATTCCTTAGAAGGAAGAGTGCGTTGTTACACCTTGTTTGGGGCTGGAAAGACGAGACTTTAAAAACACCCGTCCAATTGGAAAAAAAAAAAAAATCTCCCAACTTAATGAGTTTTAGTCGGAGGCTGGAGCGAGCGGCTCAGCCCCAGCAGAGAAGCGCCAAGAACTCGAGGCGAGACTGCGAGGCAAGACCACCCGAGGCACAGTCAGATTCCACTGTTTGGGGTCGAGAGGGATGGAGGCTAATCCTGCAGCAAGGAGGGAAGAGGCAGAGGTGGGAGAGGAGGGGGAAAGGCACGCAGGCTCGCCCTGGCCCTGGAGCAGAGAGGGAACTTGAAATAGAAGGACAACGCTGTTTTCCTAGGGATCCGTTGGAATCCCTTATTCCCCCCCCTACTTCTCACTCAAGTTCCCCCCCCAGTGATTTTTTCCCCCTCTCCCCTGCAGGTTTGTGTGCCCCCCCCCCATGCCCAGTCCCCATTCTAGAACTTTCCTAAAGAGGAAACCTGTTCCTTTTTGGGGGGGAGGGGTTCCCCATTTCCTGTCAGCAGATAATGAATGCTTAATTTACCTTCTCCCTCCCCCCCCCCACCTCCCCAAAACTGAATCAAGGGGGCAGGGCTGCAGGCACTGGGGAAAATGAGAATCAAGTATGCTACGTCTTGCCGTGTAACACAGTTTTCACTAATGGATTTTTTTTTTGTTTTGTTTTGGGCTAAGAGGAGAAGAATGGGGAAACACGGATCCTTTATTTTAGGAGAGTGTATGGGAAGATGTGTGTCAGACTTGATAAATGCAGCCCAGGCTCTTCGGCGGCTTCTTGTCCTTGCCTTAAACAGGAATTAAGTTAAACACAGTGCTGAATGTTAATTACATGTTTACTGGCTAATGAAAATTACAAATGGTTTTGCCACCTCAAAAACAATGATGAAAACTCCGAAGACACTGTAATTATATACTTTGAGGGAAATAACTCAGAATATTGATCATAAGAAGTGTAAATCTTTTTTTAACTATTCATTAATACCATAAATATGGGCTACAGAAGTTTTTCCTTGCGGTTTGTCTCATCAGTTCCACCGAGTGGCTGGTATGGCGGGACTCCTGGGTGGTGAGCTCATTCTCGCCGAGAAGGAGGCCACTTGTGTAACTGGGGGGGGGGCGCCCCCTCCTTTTCGCCCCCGCCCCCTTTAACCCCGGCGGAAGGTCGAGGGATAGTTGAATAGGGGGGCCGGGCTCGGGGCAGGTGAAGGTGATCGCGGCCCAGCCTCTCCCCTCCCCTCCCCTCCTCTCCCCTCCCCTCCCCGGTTCCCCCTCCTCCCTTCCCAGCCAGGTCTGATCGATGACCGCCTCCCCCCAGCCCGGGCGCCTGCCGGATAACCTGGCACTCTCCTTCCTAATGGAGGACAACTCCCTGCACCCCGGCGACACGCAGCCCTGACCACTCCACTCCCCTCCTTTCGAGGTGGCCAGGGCAGTTCTTGGCAAAAAGGAGAAAATAAAGTTGAGGGCCGAGGTGGTGACTGCGTGCAGGCAGGCGGGCGGGCGGAACCAGAACCGGTTTCCCTGGGGTCGGGAGCAGAGGAATATCTGTGTTTGCTTTGTTTCCTTTTCACTTCGGCCTGAGTGGGACTCTGCACCCTCTGGCAGCCACGGCGATCTTGGGGGTCAAAGGTGAGGGCTGCACTAACCCTAAAAGGCTGGTCTGGCCGGAAGGCCTGGCGCAAGGAGGCGTAGGGGGGTCAGGCACCCACCCAGCCTGGCGCTCCGGAGGGGGTGCCTGGGAAACCTGCACTGGTGTGGGGGGGTACATAGCACCCGACAGTGGTGTTAAGTGCAATATGGAGGATTTTTAAAAAGTGCCCTAGGCTTGTGGGACTGGAGTCCTCTTTCTCCCTGAGAATTCCCAAGGCGCTGGGCTTTGTCTTAGAAGGAATGGAGTTTCTGAATGGTGTGAAAGGGACAGAGAGGGTCGCTTCAAATCGATTTTACTTGTCCTTTCTGTCTTTTCGGATCAACGCCCTTCAATGGGCACCGAGGTGCTCTTTCAACCAAAAACTTGTGCTACATTTTCTGCCTGTATTGGTGCTAACTACAATGAGCGCTGGGCAGATTTTTTTTTTCTTTGCTCTCCAAAGCAAGAAAGCACCCTAATTAAATTGTTTTATATGGACAGTCAAGACGGGCCAATTAAGTATGCATTAGTATAAAGATAGAGTCTGCAGATAAGGTGGCTTAGAAAATCATGTGTAAGACAAAGGAGAGGGCGCCAGCGTCCGGGAGGGGTGAGCGAACCCAGCAAAGTTGCTCACCTTCTTCCCTGGGCCCCGGGGAGTCGCAGAGGCCCGGGCCTCAGGTGACAGGGGAACAGGCCCGCTAACAGGTGGGTGACAGCCCCCAAGGCCCGCGTCTCCGGCTGAAGGAGAGCGGTGGAGCCCAGGCGGCTAGTACGGCTCGCATCCTTCTGCTCGGACAATGTATTGGCCCCAGGTGGCGGTCCCGTAGGAGGTGGCGAGGGAGTGCTGGGCCCCACTCTGGGTCGGGCCCGTTGCTTGGTGTGTAGGTTCAAGGCGCGGCCCGGCTGCAGGGACAGAGTGCGCGCCCGGGGGGAGGCCGGGAGGGCCAGAGGGGCGCAGACAGTGCCCCTGTCGCGGCTGCAAACCTCTGGAAACCAAGATCCGGGCAGGAGACTCCCTTCCAACCCCTCCAAGCGATGCGCTTTCTTGCTTTGAAGGAAACGGAAGGTTCTCCGCGGGCAAAGGAAAGTTCCCACCCGACGCCATCGGCCCGAGGGGCGTAGAGGCCCAGCCGCAGAAGTGGGGGAATGACGAGGGCCGGCCAAAAGGTAGCGAGGAGACCTGCTCCGCGTTCGGCGCAGGCGGCTGGGGGCTTCTCCACCCCCTCTCCGCCCTCTGAGGTGTGGGCGGGCGGAGTGCAACTGGCCCGAGGGCGGCGACCCCCAGAGCAGGGGCCTGGGCCTCCTCGTGTCCCCGCGCAGGGCTGTGATAGGTGGTCCCCCGGCCGCGGGGGCGAGAGCGCAGCGCGCTGCTGCACCGAGGGCGCGCGGGGCGCACAGGACGCCCCTGGGTCGGGGGCGGGATGCGGAGAGTAGGGGGCAAGAATTAGAGCCTGGGGAGGTGGCTGAATGTCAAAAGTAAAAAGGTTGAAAAGCCGATTTTCCAGGCGCGCTTTCGCGCCCCCCCCACCCCCCTTGGCTGGTTGCGGAGGCCGTAAATCAGAGGCCCGCGGCGAGGGCGGGAGGAGCCCCCTTGGCTGGCCGGGCGCGGCCCCGCCCGGACCGTCCGCACCTCCCGGCGGGCCCCGAATCGATCCGAAGCCTAGCTGAGGATGTCACCGCACTAAATATTTACTGATCACACACAAATAGCCGGGCTCGAACGATTTTCCTCTGTGCGGAGAGCGCAGAGAGAAGGGTAAATCATTTTATTAGTGTGGATAAAGCCCAGAGCACACTTCGGGCTGGAGTGTTTTAAGATGTGTCTTCAACTGGATGAAAAGAGTTAGGGAAATCGATACCGGGTGATTAGAAGCCCCCGGGGTGACGAAGTGGGCCGGGGCTTTCAGGGATTTGGCGAGGCTGAGAGGGGGGAGCGAGCCTCGAAGGGGGCGGCCCGGCCGCCGCCAGAGAGCTCCCGGGCGCAGGCCTGTGTCCCTCTCTCCTCGACGGGCGCCGCCAGGGCTCACCGAGGGGCAGGGAGCCGGCACCCGCCGGCTGGGGGCTACGCGGGCAGCGGCGGCTGAGGGCTTGGGAGCCGAAGGCTCCACGCCGTGAGTGGCAGCGGCCGGGTGGCCACGAGAGTGGACCGCAGGCCCGGCCGGGGACACTGGAAGTTTCTCCCACCTCGCGGTCTTTCTGGGCTGCCTTCAGGAGTAAAACTGTGGCCCAAACGCGGGTATTCCCCCCAACCCCCACCGAGACCCGCAGCACCCTCGAACTCTCTGATTCACCCCAGTCCCTCATCTCCCGGAATATTTCTAAAGAGGATGAAGCAGCTCAGCTGGGCTAGCTGCTTCTCCCTGCCACCCACCCAGTGTCCAGAGCGGCCGCCGGGTGGCGGAACCCGCTGGGGACCGCAGGGCCGGTGGATTCCAGGTTCGCGGCTCCTGGGCAGGTGGAAGCCGTCTGAGGCGGAGGTGGAAGGTGGAGGCGGAGCGCCGCGCCCCAGCAGAGCCCCCAGGACGCCTTCATGCTCTCCAGGGTGGTAATCAGGCTTTGGGGGGGGGGTATGAAAGTGACCCTCCGGCGCGGGCAGTCGGCCTGGGGCCCCAAGGCTGAGTGCAGGAGCCTGGAAGGCCAGCAGGGTTTGCTGAGGTTAGCCAGGCTTGGGAGAGCGTTTGCTCTCTCAACTCTAGGAGTGAAGTCCCTGACACAAACCTGGCTTTGCATTTCTGCCAGCGGGAATCTCGCTCGCTCGCTCGCTACCGTGGATAAACCCTGGGGTTCAAAGCAGCTGTAAAGAATCAAGAAGGCGCTAATTTTGAGGGGTAAGGAGGGGCGCAAAGTGAAGAAAGGAGAATCTTGCTGCTGTTGTTTTTTTTTTTTTCTTTTTCTTCCGCTCCTGACTCTTTCCTGAAAATCTGCTCTTCCTGGAGACACTGATAGCTTGGTTATCTATCTGCCCATCTATCTGGTCTCCCCACACCCCCAGTTGCTCGACTTTCTTGGCAGCTGGAGGAATTCAGTTCAGGCTGCCTTGCCTGGCTCCACCGTGTAACAGGAAATGACTGGAGCGCCAATTAATCGTTTTCCAGAAGGGAGAATTAAAAAAAAAAAAGAAAGAAGGAAAGAAAGAAAAGGAATCCCAGTGGATTGGAGCGGTATGTTCAGGTGTGAGGCGATTGGTGCTGAGTCCCTTCCCTAGTCACCTTCCGTCTCTGGCGAGGGGAGCTCCAGCGGCCGGCGTCTCGGCTGACCCAGGGGGCTGCCAGGAGCGGGTCTCCATTAACCCTTCTCCGTCTTGGCCAGTGAAGGTTAACTACACTAATATACCAAAGGGGCTGTAGAGGGGAAAAAAAGAAAAAAGGGAGGAAGGAAAGAAGGAAGGAAGGGAGGGAGGGAAGGAGGGAGATTCATTCCAGTTGAAGGATTTCAGAGTTCTCTGTCTTTCACTGGCCCCCTCCTACCCCCCACCCGTCCTCTGAGGGCAGCCTTGCATTTGGGAAGACTAGAGTCTCACCCCTCAAGGCAGCTCCCTTCTTGGAGGGGGACTTTGGGGACCAGAAGAAAACATGATGTATGCTTACATATTTTCTTCCATGCACCTGGCCACCCACTTCACTTTAACCATATTTCCACCACATGTGCCGCCCAAACAATATCTAGTTTACCTTCCTTCATTTCAGCTAATGTAGAGTCTTGTCAGTGGGCACATTATAGGCATACCATCTAGATGGCGTGAAGAAAATGCATGCAGACCTGGTGGCCTTATAACTGGTAGCTATATAATGTGCATGGGGATGTGGGTGCCTGGGCGTGTGTGTGTGTATATATATATGTGTGTGTGTATATATATACATCTACATATACTATATATACTATATACACACACACATATAGTATATATATATTATATATATATACAATCTCCTTACGGTGTTAGAAGCTCCATGATGGATGAAAGGGTCATCTCCTCCAGCACTAGACAGAGGCTGTCACTCAAGGGTCCATGCTGGAGGTCTGGCAGGAAGCAGGGGCAGAAAGGAGTTTTGAATGAGCTTCCTTGGAACCCCTCTTGTTGAAATCCAAGCCGAAGCGACTCGGTCATAGCAAAGCCATTGTGCCTCGCAGGCTCCTAGAGAGACCCTTCAAGGAAAAAATGTCCATTTTCACTGTGGTAGCTTTGGCAGGGCATTCCAACCAGAGGTGAGCCTCCTCTGCCTCATATATGTATTTCAAAATGCAACAGTGTGCCCCTCTGTTTATTTGACTTTTCAGTGCATTGCGGAACAGGCTCTGGCTAAAGGTGATGGCATAAGGGCTTGTGGACCATCTAGCCCAGGCTGACATGGGCTGTCCAGGCTTTTCCATGTTACCCTGCGAGGTAACTCCTGCTGAGAAAGTTCCAAAGCCATGTGGATGTCAGTTCTTATTTGAAAGCAGACAGAGTGAGGAAAGATGGTCTGATTCTGTATGTTTTCTCTTTCTCAAGAGCCTGGTAATGAAATCGTGAAAATGACAGTTCACTTCTGGCATGTCCAAAAAAAAAAAAAAAGCATTAATCAAATGGTATCAGGTGCTAGCCATTTAAATGTGAAGGTGTTCGTGAGGCAAATATCCAGATAAATTAATATTGTTAATTAGCTGTATCCAGTGTGCTGAAAAGAAATACAAACAGAACAACAAAGGGGATTTACCTGATTTAATTTCCTTTAACCAGAGACTCCAGGTGAATTTCAGGAGAAAAATAATCTAAAGATGATTGGCTTTTAGAAGGCTCACAAAAAACCCCAGTTTCAATAGAAAGCATACAGTTAGGGCAGTAAGTAGATGGGCAAGGACAGACACACTGCCATAATAGAGAAGCATTATGCAGGAATTTAGAAAATAGAATACTATTTAGTTACCAACTGCGTTTCTCCTCTTAAAGGGCTAACTGCTGGAAATGTTGAAGGTACGCAGCAAAAATAAAGGGCTTCTACAAAACATTAAGAAGAGGGAGCTGAACATAATATTCAGCTTCTTGACCCAACAAGTATTTGTCTGAAGTTTACAAAGGGTGACACTGAAATAAAATATACACTCTTTTAAAAAATTCTTTTTTGAATATAGGATAGAGAAAGGCACCTTTCCTCTTTGTCCATTATGATTTTTAATAAATTAACCAGCCCTATTGCAGAGATCACAGTGGACCTGACCTAGGTAAATGGATCGAGATGATAGCAGTGGAAATAGTCTGAAGCAAAAGTGAAAACATAAAAGGCAGAAAACACTGACTTCAGTGGAAAGTGCCACATTGGGTGTTTTTTCGACAGGACTGCATCACCATCACATGCCAGGGAGAGGAAGTTAAAAAAGGCAACCTTGGTCCTTTGCAGAATGTAGAGTGATACCTTATTGATTGCTTCCCGGTTCTGTTGCATGTTCTCATTTCGCATGTATGTCTGATGTCATGGAAAGAAGCTAGCATTGTGAAATTTAAATGGCGAGAGGGGGGTGCTTTCAAAAAGATGTTTTTCTTCAGAATCTCCTCGGAGCGATAAGGGCTTTGCTTATTTATTCACTGATTTTTAATATGATTTTGGTTAATTTAATGGCTTTTTTCAAGTGATAGACTATTTTGCTGAAGTCTACATTGTTTCTATGTTGAAAACAAATCCCAGAGCAAATCTGGTTTAGAAAGTGTAATTGTCTGTCTAGTTATTGAAGAGCTACTATTTAAACGTCCCAGACTCTGTAAAAAAACAAACACGCTCATAAACACCTAAACCTATTCTTGTTTCTTAATAACTCTTAAAGCTGCAACTGGCTGGCTGTGGATGAATATTTTATAGGGGATCCTTTCACTGTCTTCCTCTTTATCCGGTGAATTCCTCTAATTTGTCTTTTATGCCTGGGAACATTAAAAAGCATTAGCCACTATGCCAGAATTACCCACTCCCCTCTAAAACACCAGTGAATAAACATTCTAATTATAGAAAAGAGGTGTGATGTTTACTCTAAAGTTACAGGAACATATAAAGTTTTCTTAATAAACGAGAAGAAACTCTACCCTAGGTAAACGCACAGAGGGCAGCTGTCGGGTAGGGCTTACATACGTGTTCTCTGCCTTCTTTACTTTGGCACGGAGGCATCTGGGTTTGTGTCGCCACACACGGTCTATTGTTCGCAGAGTGCATTTTTGAGCTTAAAAGTGATTTTCACATTGTTTTGCCTTTCCAGCTTAATGCTTTATTCCACTGAAATAGAATACTCATTCCTGTGTTTAAATTTGCATGTCCAGGCAAATAATGAAGATGTGAGATCTTCCAGCCACCTCCAGAAAAAAGAAAAACAAAAATATCATTTCATATATATATATGTGTGTGTGTGTATGTGTGTGTGTATATATATATGTTAAAGAAGTAAAAAAAGAGCCTTTGATTCCGGCTGTTGAAAATACAGTCACTTTGTTTTCACAGCGGAGTTCTTAATAAGGGTTTTTTTCTATCTTAACTGTCTACCAGGGCGAGATGCTTCGGTTTCATATAGAGTTTTTGAATCCTAAGCAAGTTTTAACAACATATCATTGCAGGCTCTTTGAAGTGAAGGGAGATTTGAAACAACAAGCCTCCAAAATAAAAGACCCAGCAAAGGGACAGAGTATAATGGTGTGTGTGCCTCAGCTCTTAGGGATGTTACACAAGTTTTACTTGAAAAATTATAGTAGCAAGCTTTTTTTTGCATCAAGTCCAAAAATGAGATGATTATAGGAGAAAACAAAAAAGGTTTAGTCCCACTTTCCCCCAGCAAAACTCAAGACAACGACACAACTAAAACCGAGCCCCTGTCTCCAAGCCCTTACCACGGTGGGGAAAGTTTCTGTTTAAGTTTCTGGGCAAGGTTCTGTCCAAGCTCCCAGTGGGTCTACTTTTCACAGACGGCAGGCGGTGGCTCAGGTCCCGTCAGCAGCAGCCCGGGAGCTTGGGGAAGGAGGCAGACTCTCAGTCAGAGAACAGCTTCCTATTGCGGAGAACCTACCACGCTGAGAACAGCGTGGCCAAATCAACTGTGGGAAGTTCCTCTCTCCTTTCCAAAGGAGGTTTGCAGAGAGGCAGGAGAGGAAGAGCTGATAGAACCAATGTGATTCTTTTCGAAGGCATTCCCAACTTTCCTGTTATCCCCTCCTCTCTTTACTCTCTGTCTTTGTGCCCCTAGGGTCCGCGAGAGAGGAGGGCAGATTCTAGATTGCTTTCAGAGTTTGCCTTCTCTGATGATGGATTACTGTGTCAATTTAAACGGCATAGGATTAATTTGTTTCAATGATTTCTCTTTAGGCTGAATGCCAGCCGTTTTCCTATCTCTCCCCTTGCTCTGCAGAACCCCCACCACCAAACCGGGCAGAAAAGCCTTCTTTCCATATTCTAAGTCAGGAGGCCATAATGGAACTAGACAAGTTAGGTGTAACGTGGCAACACAGTTATAGGTCTGAGTGTTTTTATCTCTGCCTAAGAGGCTGCAGCATACAGTCAGTCACATTAAAATGAAATTGGACTCAACGTTTATTCAATAAATACTTGTCTTGTAGATAATCCAGTACCGAGTGCTTTTGACACATAAGGACTTAATTTGTCTTGGGTAACAAGTTATTAATATGGCACATTTAAGCCTGCCACCTACAATAAGGTTATGGAGAGCCATAACAAACTCAAATGATCGTTGTGAAAAATAATTTGTATGAGGGAGGGGGGTGTTTTTGAGGATGTCTCTCTTTTTCCCGTGTACAGATGTATATGCACACTAGGAAAAGGATACTAGTAACACATGTATATGTCACATCACACAGGGGCAAAAAAAGTTCAATGAAGTTTAAAAATTCCACTCATTATACAGATGTGGCTAACCTTTCCGAAAACAGGAACCTGTCAAAGAGTTTTCTCTTTGGAAAGCTTTCTAAAGGGCACGCGAAAAAATGCTGTGTAAATCCTATTTCTTTGCAAGACCAAACCCATTATGAGGTTGAAAATGGCACAAAAAAAGCCCTCCCCCTGCACATTTTTTCACCTAGACTAACCTGGCAGCCAGACAGAGCATGCTGCTTGTAGGGGGGAAAAAAGTGCAATTTGAGTAAAATAATCTATCCCTAAATCAAATTATTGTATTTACTTCTTTCATGGGAGAGCCTCCAACAGATGCAAACTTTCATTCCACGGACCGAATAGGTTCACTGCATTTGGATATTTAAACACGGGGATTTCCTTTCCACCACCCTCTTTTTCCCAGCAGCCCCCTGCGTGGAAATTCACGTCATCGAGGAAGATAATAAGTTGCGTTCTGAATATGAACTCAAATGGGTTTAACAGCCTCCCCCTTCCCTGATGCCCCAGGCGGGCTTTCTTTGGGCAGATTTTACTGTCTAGAGGCCGAAGCAACCAGAGGCCAGTGACTGTCCGAACTGGAATCGAAGCGATTTTAATTTGTCGAGGAGTTGTTGGTGGTTAACCTTGGGGGAGATGGCGCATCTCTAAGGGACTGAATCTTGGAGCGCTCTCCCTTGGAAATGATGAGCAGAAAATTTCCCACTCGTGAGCAGAAAATCCAGGCAAGAAAGGCTAATTGAATGAAGAGAGAGAATTAGGTTAAAAAATAGAGTACAACCCGGGATCACATTTTCACCAGTGTAACTTGAAATGAAGGTGTCTTCTAGTCGCTGGTGACGCCAGGGTGTTTAGATGTTGGCCACAGATGGGGACACCTATTGAAATGTGTCTGAAGAAGATTAATAGGGCTTGTCACTGGTGGGAAAGCACGGCTTTGCTGTAAATTTCTACCAGCACAAGATGAATTACCGATGAATGCTCGCTTATCAACCCCATCACTATCATTCGACACTAAATCAAATTGAGAAGTTATCTGCAATCAGAAAATTTCTTTTTAAAATAGACATACACCTTGAGGCCCCAACTCTTTAATAATCCCACTCTGAAAACAACCCCCCCCCACCCCCTGGATGCTCTTGTAGCTTGAACAAAACGACAGTTCCCCAATGAATCTGTTTTTACGCGCGCCGTCCATGGGCAGCTAATTGGTCAAAGCCAAGGTTGCCAGTCTTTCAGCCAGGGGAATGCGGGCTTCTTAGAAGCCACCGTTGAATGTCGCGTATGTTTCTGAACTTGCAGGTGTGCCTTCCCTTTCCTGGAAGGCAAAAGAAGAGAGCAGGTTTGACTTTTCCTGTTCTAAACCCTGCCCCTCTGATCCAATTGTTATCTAATTCTCTGCGAAGAGAACACAGCAAGTTCGGGCAGAAGGACAGTGGAGTCGGATTAAATGAGTGACAACGATAAGCAAGGAGGGGCATCCACGCTCTCCCGCCCCCGTGGCATGGTGTGTATCTCACTTCTGAGGGGATTTGTTTGAGAAACAAAACAGAGGCATTATCTCTCCCATTTTCCGTTGGCTCGGAGCACTCAGAGGCATTTCAGTGGAGGAAGAATGCTGTCCCAACAGACCAGCCGCCCTTGTGTTTCCATAGGGCCCTACCTGTCTCCGAAGGTCCTCCCACGTGCCTCACTCATTTGGTGGTTACTGAAACCTTTGCACAGGTCAATGTGCAGAGGGCCCGTGTTGCTGTAAACTGAGGCTCAGAGGATTACCTGAGGCTAGGGAGGTAATGAGAACATGGTAAGAATTTGGGCCAAGGTCTCCTGGGTTTTTTTCAGGATGTGCTAAGTCATTAGGTAAATGAAGAAGAGGATGGTGATGATGACAATACAGTAACTAACATTTACTATGTATCAGAACTATGGTAAACATACATATGTATATGTTTATATATAAGCTTGATATATATAAACATGTAAATATAGATAAATGTAACATATTTATATATATACATATAAACTTTACGTATAAACATATAAATATAAATCAATATAAATATATCTATAACTTTATTTCATCTCTGTGCAACTCTCTGGTGTAGATACTGTTATTATTTCCATTATTCGAGGGAAAAAAGTAACCAGGTAGGCTCATGGACTTAGGGACTCCCCTGAAGCTGACACTGCCACCAAGTTCCAGGTGCCTCATTCACATCTAGGAAGGCTGAATCCTCTGCCACTGCCCCATCCTGCGAATCTGCTTCCAGCGACACTGACTGGTCGCCAGAAACCCCACCTCTCTGAGGAATACAAAAATCGGAGGCAGCCGGTCACAGCAGCATGGACCCCGGTGCAAACACGTGGGCTTACATTCTGGCTTCCCCAGCGACCGAGGCTGGGGGCTCAAGCCCTTTTGGCTTTTATTTATTTAATTTTTTAATCTCCAAAGTGGGGTAGCTGGGTCGCATGAGACTGTGGACATTTCGGGAAGCTTTGGGGTGCTTCCTGCTCTCATGGTCTCCGAGGGGAGAGAAGAGAGGCGGGCGCAGAGAGGCAGCAGCTGTCTCGGAGGAGGCAAGTCGGGGCAAGCGGCATGTGGGCACTTGGGGGAGGCGTGGCTTCCGTGTCAGACACCAGCCTGGGGACGCTTGGCGTGGGGTGAAGCTTCCTTAGCTTCCTCTCTGCCTCCAGAGCCTGCGGACTACTTAGGTCAATCCTGGTTCCGTAGAAAAACGACAGAATTTAAAATTTATCCCCCTCAAAAATTTGCCTCCCTTACTTCCCAGGTGAATAGCAAGAAGAAAACCCTGAGGCTTGGAGAGGTCAGATGACGGACGTGAGGTCAGAGTTGAAACTAGTCCTCTTGGCCCCCAGACCAAGAATCCATCCCTATTCCCCCCAAATGCCCCCTGCCCCACCTACTATTCTCCTTGAGATCATCTCATCCTGTCCATAGTATAACTATTTCTCTGTTTATGATATGACCCCTGGTGTGGGTTATTATTGGTTGTAGTATGCCATCTTCCCAAATCTCTCCCACCCTAGTTTCTCATACAAGCCCTTGCGCTAACCAGCCAACAAGTCGAAACCACAGTGAGGAATCATGCGATACTCAGAATGTTCTGTAATCTGTACGAGACCACGCTAATATTCCAATCTGTATTTATTACAGCCGTCTTCTGATGCTTACATAACCCAAATGGCTAGATTTATACTGTCTAATGGTTCCCCAATGGGAAAAACCTGTGTTTTTTATCTTCCCCTTCCTGCCCTAAATCACCCCTTCCACATACATCGCCTGCTCCGGGAATCCCCGTCTGGGTTTAATCAGAACTTGCGAGACAAAATGTGCATTATTAAGAAATATAAATATTTTCAGAAGCAATCAAAGGGATGAAAGATTGATTCAGCATGTAGATTGGGATGTAATGCAAAGCAGCTTTTTTTCTAATGAGGGCTACCGGCACACAGAGTCAGGAGCCCTGGGAGCCTCCAGTCGAGACTTCTGAGTTATGACGGTGATGCCAGGATTTCTGTATTCCCGGTCCGTGTGCAGAAGTAATTTTTGCAAGGTGTATTCTCCAGTCCCCGGGGGTGAACCACCTTTCTTTGCCACCCTTAGGGACTTGTAGTCGTTCTCTTGGAGAAATTATGACTAATTCCCTCTCCTCTTTGGAGTTTAGATCAGCCCGTTACCTCCCTTCGCACCGCTCGGGAAGTTGGCTGAGCACCGACTCGCAGAAGAACATTGTGGCCGGGAGGCATCTGTATTACAATTTCTTTCTTGGCTTCATAAAAGGTATCGCATTATCTACCTGGTCAATCTCGATTGGCTTTCAACAGAGAGACATGGAAGAACCTAATAAGCCTCATTAGGATATCTGCTCTAAAAACAACAGGCTCCCTCATTTAGCACGTTGCTTTGAAATGGCCCAGCAGAGCCGGGTGGTCGTGGCTCCCACATAGGTATTGCTAATTTGGGATCCTTTTCCGTGGGGTAGCTCTGGGTGGGGGGTGTGGGGGTAAGTGTGTAGGTGGAATTTTAAAACACAAGGAATCAAACCCCGATTGTTGTCTTTTGTTTTTGTTTTCTTTCTTTCTTCCCTCTAATCCCATTTTTTTTTTCTGTCCCCGTGTGTGAGAGAGATGGCTTGATTTTCTTGATAGGGTCCACCCATCCACAGCCGAAAGTCCAGAGAGGGCTGAGAATGTCTTTAGAATCCACACTGCTCACAGGAGCCTGAGAGAGCAAGTTTTCCTTTGTTGTAGGGGATAGTATTATTTGCTGTAGGTTTTTTGATATACATTCTAAATTAGGCCTGCAAAGGCCGGCTTCATCTTTAATTCATCACTCTCAGCTGAAAGAGATTAGCAATGTCTAGCACGCACCCCTCCGTTTGGCGCTGACCTCACCAAGTATGGCCTGAAATTAATTAGCCTCATTCATTCCAAATGGAGAAGGATAATGGAGCAGCATTTTCGAGATGACCATCGCAAATTGTATGCAGCATATTTAAAAGGCCCCTATTTTCGAACCATGTAGATTAAAATTCCTTCCAGGGTTGACAATATGCCAGAATGATCAGGCACCCAGAGCGAGGCCTGGGCAGCTCTCCTGTGTCTGTGTCTGCGTGTGCGCGCGCGCGCGCCCGTGCGTGCGTGCACGCTGCGTTGTGGGTTGTGTGTCAGAGGCTGTGTGTCGCTGTGTGTCCGCCGTTAGCCGGCTGGCTGTCTAGGATGACACCTGGAACGTCCGACCGACAGAACTCAGACGTCAAGTGGACTTTTTTTTTTTTTGTTGCCGTTACCACGACGTGGGCGTGCCGGCACCAACCGCTCTTTTCCAGGGTGATGTTTTCCCATCCTCTAATTTAGAAACAGAAAAAGCTCTGAAAGAAATGCTCGATTTTTCTATGTGGAGTTATTTTTGAAGCTTTCTATTTTTTTTCCCCTCCCAGTCCCTACTGTTTGATCATATTTTAATACATGATGGAGGACTAACTTGGATTACAGAATCAATTAAAATCACCATCTAACATGAGCTGATTTCCCTCTTCTGGGGATTGACCATGAGAGGCCAAATTTTTGAATCTCAAAACTGCTTTCTTTTTCGGCCAAAAAAAATCTTGACCGGGGTTCTTTGAGATTCTCAAAGATGTTGTAAAGTTTATTTTTGGGACCAGTCTTTTGGAGACTGGAGATTGGAAGAAGAAGAAAAAAGGGGAAAAAAACTCCAAACCCTGACTTGATTGTGTTTTCAGACTGTACTTTTCTAACTAATATCAAATACGGTCAATTTATGAAAAGCTAGCAGGTTTGGGAGGAATTTTCTTTAGTGCCAATTTCTTAAGGAAAAAAAAAAAGATCCCAGAATAACTTTGTTCAGTTAGTTAAAGTAAAAAGTAGACATTCAAAGTAATATAACTACAAAGCTTTCAGTTACCTGTTGGGGTAAAAAAAAAATGCATGCTTATTTTTAATCCAAGCAGTCTTTTTTTAGAGCTCATGGATATATTCATCTCCATGTGTAAATTAGTTAAGATTATTTTGTCTTAGAATTAAACAGTAAGCATGTTGCCCACATCGCTGCCGATGGAGAATCTAGAAATTTCTCTAAGCTCACTTTTGCCTCATCTTCTCATTCCGGAGGCCCCTTTATCTAATGGGCACATATCACTCATATATCCCAGATCATCAATCAGAAACTGTGAACTCATCATTTTGCCATAAAAGATCCAAGCCTTACATCTCCCCCAGCCTCTAGCATGTAATTTGAGAAAATGAGCTGGCTTTAAGTCTGGGCTTCTGACTTGGGAGAAATGCAAAAATGGAGCGAGCTTCAATGATACAAATTTGATTTTTCAAGTCACAGTTTCACTGGATTCAACGATGATGCACCGTAGATCTTTCAACGGTGACAGAAAGAAACACTTTTTGGTAATTAGCCTTTGCTCGATGGCTAATACACACGGTATGAAATAAAGGGGGATGTTTGCAAAAATAGCTCGTGCAAGCACATGTTACCGAAAGTATATTTTCCTTATTTACTCTTGAGACAAAAATGTACACAGTCTATCATATTGCCATTTGTTCAAATACGAGACAGCGAGTTTCCATTTTTATTTATTTATTTATTTGACCCACGGAGGTAGAAATGGCAGAAGAACCATAAATATAAGGATTAAGGCTGCATAAAATGGGAGCTCATTTCAATGACAAACCCGCAGCGGATCTCCGATGGACCGAGCAAGTTTCATTTGGTGTCCACCTGAAACAATAAATCCTGCTTTGGCTCTTCAGGGGGTGAAGGAGGTTCACCTACAATTCAAACCAGCTTTTCCCAAACGTAACCCAGGCTCGCTGAGCACAGGGGAAGCTGCAGTGGTGCGCGGGGTTCGCCATAAAACCTTCACCCCCACATTGAGCTGATGATGGATAGATGATGGGCTGAGGAGAGGGAACTACAAGATGCGTTGGCCATGGCTGCCTGGCCAAATTCTCCCTCTTATTCCCTGCGCCAGTCTGAAGTATGGGAAGAACAGTATCGGGAGCAGATTTCCAATCATCGATGTGGAAAGATGGCCACGTACGAGAGCCCAGAGGGGTATGCCGACAGTTAAATACACTAGAGGAAACATCAACGACCAAGGCTGGCCATAGCCTGGCATCGTTGTAAGCTGTGTGAGCTCAGTTTAGGGGACCCTAACAGCACCGGGCACGCACTGTTATTTCCACTTTGTGGAGCAGAAAGAGGAGACCCGGGAAGTTACATAACTTGTCCAAGGTGACGCTGCTTGTAAAAGGGACTTGAATCCCGGGACATCTTGTTCTGGGATCTCTGTCTTGCGCCGCCCCGCCTCCCGGAGAAAAGGAAGTTACGAGGTTGGTTAGAAAACAAGCTGTTATAGTCTAGGAACGAGGGAGATATTCCACCCCCCAATTTTTTTTTAACTCTCGAGAACAGTCAGTAGTAAATGTCATGGGGAAAAAAAAAAACAAAGGAGAAAAAGCTCATTCTGGTCTAATTTTCTTATCTCAGAAGTAGGGAGCTGACTTCCCAAACCTCCCATAAGTCTTTGCTTGCCTTGCCCTTGGAATGCTACAGGGTACAGATAAACTGAGAGGAATTCAAAGAAAAAAAAAGTACCAAAAAAATGACAGGGTGAGGGAGTGGCTTGGGAGGAAAGGTCAGAAGGACTGACTAGGTAGAATATAGAGAAGTTATAGCTAATATAGAACTCAGTACCGTCCTAGAAATATGATAAGAACAGCGAAGGCCTAAAAATGTTACTGAGGCAATTGGAAAGACGTAAGGAGGAAGGCTGAAATGAAGAAATTATGAGAACTCAGATTTTATCATGACGATTATTTTCTTGGAATACTGAAGCCCAAACCAGAACTTTCCCAGGGAAAAAAGAATCTGTTCCTGCCTTGTGTAGGTTGAAGCAGAAAGATAGGCCTCAAGATTATGGTTTTAAAAAATGATTCATTAGAATAATATGTAGCATACACTCATAACGTTTCTATGCATTTTTTTCTATTTAATCCTCATGGTGAGTTTTCAGGGTATGTATGTATTATTATTTTTTAAAAGATTTAGTTTTAGAGACAGGGGAAGAGAGGGAGAGAACCATCAATGTGTGGTTGCCTCTCACGTACCCCCTACCTGGGACCTGGCCTGCAACCCAGGCATGTGCCCTGACTGAGAATCGAACAGGTGACCCTTTGGTTCACAGGCCTCTGCTCAATCCACTGAAGCTACACCAGCCAGGGCTGTATTATTATGTTTTAAAAATTTTTTTTTTTTATCCTCATTGCTTTTAGAGAGAGAGGTGGGGAGAGAGAGAGAGAGAAAGAGAGACACACATTGACTGGTTCCCTTCTCATATGTGCCCTGACCCGGGATGGAACCCGAAACCTGGGTATGTGCCCTGACGGGGAATCAAACCCGCAACCTTTCAGTCTGTGGAGGACGCTCTAGCGGAGCCACACCCATCACGGCACAAGGTATGCATTATGATGTCCACTTTACAGACCTGAAAACTGAGGCTCAGGAAGGTCGCTACCTTCCCCGGGGTTCGCGCAGCCTGAGTGCCTCCGAGTCTTCCCCGGGCCTGGACCCCTACCAGCGTCCCAACCCCCTCTTCTCTCACACAGCATCCCCAAGACTTCGCCCAGAGGCTGGTGTTCCCGAACAACTGGTTTTCAGCTAAATTTCATCATGACGCATCACCCTCAGGGAACGTACTGATAAGAACACACTACCCTGGAGTGAGACACAGCTCTGCTTGGAAATCTGGCTGCCGTCCTGTAAGAGGTGGCTCAGTCTGCTCAGCGCTTGAAGGAGCCGCGCATGCTAAGTAAACACCCCACAGGCGGCTCGGCTGCGGATGGATAGGCGGATGAACAAACAGCGGAATGACGTTCTTTAAGTAGGGCCCCCGCCCCCCCCGCCGTCTGCTGTGTTTACAGGCCCCCAAATGAAATCACCTGGCTGTTTACAGGGGCCTTCGTGCTGATGAAAAGACTCAGTTATGCGCCCAACTCTTCTCTGCCAAAGGAGAAAAGTTCCAGGTTCTTTCAAAGTATGTGAAGCATCTGATGTGAAAAGTGGCAACAGCATTTGGGACCAATTACCCAGATTAAGAGGCAACAATGCTCTGTTTACAATGTGTAGCCAAGAGCGGCTTGGCTCGGGTCCACGTGCTGGGGATTGTAAATTACAGAAATTTCAGCCCAACACCGATTCCTCTTTTGACCTGCGTGGCTGAGAAAAACAGGTAGAGACGCCCTTGTTGTTACTTGCCCCGAGACTTCAGTGAATGGGGAACTGAATATTATCTTCCCAGTAAGTCAGCGACACACAGGTCCCCTGCCAGGAAGGCCTGGATTGCTCACTCAGGGAAGACTCTAATTGTATGTGACGTGTCAGGATGTGGTTTTTCTGTTTGCCGCTCCTCGGAGATGACTTCTGCGAAAACAGTTCGAAAATGAAGCCCTCTGACCTCTTTTGCTTCATTGCCGTAGCACCCCAAGACAACTCCATTGTCCAATAGATTGTGGGGGAATCGGCACCAAAGGATAGAGAGGGAGGTTAGCGCCAGAGAACTGGGCTGCTGCGAATAGATTAGACATAGACTGTGGCAAATGCAGCCATTGTGGGCACCCCCCCCCCCAATAATTTGGCCCACACATGGGGGCTGAAAGCAGTTTGGGTCATTGGGGCCTGGAATTTAGAGTTCTTCCTTTGCCCGAGGCAGACCGGCCCCCACTCTGTGCAATGCTGATCATTCCAGAAGTTCGGGGGAAATATTCATCTTAAGTCTTTGCACATAATCCTGATGTTAAGGCCTTGACCTTGGCGGGGGGGAAAGCAACCACAGCGGTCCGACAGCAAGGGGGAGAGTATCTATTCCTGAAGGGCAGGCCTGCCGAACGCAGCCGCGCGGGGAAGACAAGTCACCGCCTCACCGACGGCCATCGCGCGTGCGTGCTCAGGGTTTCCTCACGTGATTGCTCTCAGTTCCATGCTTAGATCATCGAGTTGGATATATCTACAGGCAGGGGGACCAAGGTCTTCTTATGACTGCTTCTTATTGCTGGGTGGGGTGGTCATGAAGAGGAAAATGCAATTGAAGTTCTGATCGTGGAGTATATAGCATCTTGGACTTGGAAAGTATTTTTATCCAAGAATCCGGTGTCCTTTTTTTTTTTTTTAAAAAAAAATCATTTGAGAGAGAGAGAAACATCAATTTGTTGTTCCACTTATTTATACATTTGTTGATGGTTTCTTGTATGCGCCCTGACTGGGAATCGAACCCCCAACCTTGGCGTATCAGGATGACACTCTAAGCACCTGATCCACCTGGCCAGGGCTTCCAGTGTCCACTTCATGGAGGGCTGTCCTCCAGTAAGTGACAGCTTTCCAATCCCTTCCTGTGTCAATATATTTTCCCAATAAAAACGGATCAAAAACCAACTTTGTTTAATTCTGGAATGTTCTGACCCTGGTTCATCTCCGGAATCGACATTTTCTGCAGTGTCAGAGCTTCCTGACATATACAATTAACTCACAAATTAACTTAGAAAATGATAGTAAGCTCTCAGCTAAATGATATAGTGGCCACGGGGGACCAAACCAATTTTCTGGAATAAGGTTAGGACTAAGTTCGCTCTGCAACAGCACTAAGGTGGGGTGTACAGAGGAGCTGCTCCGGGGGGAGAAGGAATCCAGGTGCGAGAGGGGAGATACTATCTGTCTTCAGTTCTGTCGGTTACTCAGCTCTCTGATATTTCTGCAGCTACGAAACAGGAATAACCGGTCTAAAGAATGGTTTGGAATTCAAGGCTCCAGAAGGGAATCCAGAAAGTCACGGGATCTTCTCCTTGGAAGGAAGCTTGGAGAACATCGGGGCCGACTTCCCGGCGGACCCCGGAGGCCTGGAGACAGGCCGGTGGTTAGGCAGACACCGAGTCAGAAAGTTCCAGGGGTCATAAGGTCAAGGCCAGTGACGTGAATGTCTGAAGGCCACGGGTTCGGCCAGGGCCGGCCGCCCCGAGAGATGGGTGGGCCAGTGCTTACTCTCCCTGAGAATACCGCTACTGGGGAGCTCTGCTTTGGGAAAGTTTTGTACCTTTGGGGAAAGCAAACACCTTCTTAAGCACCTTGCCACAGGGGCAGATTCTGTCCTCAGCAGCAGTACATCTGAGCCTCATTCCCTCACCATACGAGAGACTTTCAAACACTTGGAGATGGCTTTCACTCTCCCCAACCCTCAAAGCTACCGCCTATGTTGTAGTGGCCAAGTTCCCTGGTTCCCCACATGACAGGGACACAGAGGTTTCCTCTGAGCTGCCTGCGTTTGCCAGAGTCTCTTAAGAAGGGTCCAGAAACAAATGAAAGAGAAGTCGAGGGACCAGCACTTCCACCACGGACAAGACTGGCTTTGCACGGCGCCCCGCGTCAGTGAGGGGCGGCCCCCATCCGGCGGAGCCGGGTCTCGGGCCTCGAGGTTTTGTACAAGGGGATTTGTTGCATTTAAGAAGGTCTCATGTTTATCCCCATTAAATTGCATTTTGTTTTGGCTTCCTGATAGCTTTTAGCGTCTGTCTCTCATCTTTTTTTTTTTTTTAACAAGTTGACGAAGTCTGTCTTTTACAGTTTTGCCCAATCATTGGTCTAAACATTGCAGAAGCCAGGCGTTCTGGGGTTTTAGGGTCTTGGATGTCACCGGCGATTACGTTGGAAATTGTTACAGGTTTATTTTTTCAATTAGCTCATAAGCAGTGGGTAATTGTACAGTTTCTGGGTTAAATCCTGGGTCTGCCAAGATCCAGGTGTGTGGCCTTGAGCCTGCAGACTCACCTGCGTCTCAGTTTCCTCATCTGTAAAATGGGGGTAAAAGTGCAATGATAACATATATGGTTGTTTTGATGACGAGGTAAGTTAATACAGTAAAGGCATGCAGTGTGCACTATTTATTATACAAAGAAGATACATCAAGACAAGATCCCTAAAGACAAGGGAAATATCTTGTTTATATTTGTATCTCTGCAGACTAGCACTGGAGCTAGAACATGTCTGGGGCTCATACACTGGGTATAGAAATGGATGAGTTTCTATAGTCTTCTAGACACTAGATGCAGAGAGATAATATCATCTATAGTAGAATCGGTAACGCTCTCGTTTCCAGTGCTAACAGAGTTTCAATATCATTATGAAAAAGATCTGGACCGTGGAGCACCGTGCACGTTCTGTCTCAGACCAACATCATTCTCGTTACTTTGCCGCTCACTTTTCTGTGAGTGGTCCTCCGTGTCTTTAGCGACGCTAATCTCTCATGTCTCCCTTTAGCATGCAAGGCGAGAGAAATCACCCACTTCGGTCCACGCTGAAAAAAAAAAAAAAGACAGGGCTCTTCCTAGTTTGCTGGCCCCACCAGAGAGGGGGCACTGCCTATTTTCAGCATGAAAAGGGGCCCGGAAGAATGCTAGTAGTCCGGGCTCCACCCTGTCTAAACCTCTGTAGATCTGCAGTCACAGGCAGACCCAATTCAAAAAGACACGCCAAAAAAAAAAAATGAAATGTTTTAAACATCACCCACAGGATGGGCGTTCCTGCACCCGCCTACCTTCCATGGCCATGCCAACTCAAGTGCTGACAACAGCGTAGGTCTGGGCTGCAGCGCGCAGCCGCCTCAAGTTCCCTTGGCCGCAGTTTCGGCGGGTTAGGTCAAGTTCTGGTCGGGTTGAGAATTTCAGTCTTCCCGAGCTATCTTTTCCATGTAATTCCCTTTGAACTTCCATCCATGCTCACGTAGACACCGGTGTTTTTTCCCTCTTTGTTGCAGGCAGGAGTTCACCCCCCTGAAGCGATTACCCACTGGGAAATGTGGGAGGAGCCACGCTGGGGGGGGGGGTGCGGAGCAGGGTTGCGGGGGCCGCCCTGGGTAATATGATCTGCGCTTGTTGAGTGTGTCAGGGCTAATACTTTTGACAGCAGCCGTCCTAAAGGGGTGTAGCAAGTCATTTGAAATGTGTACACAGACTGCCCTATCCATTACGCATCGCCCATATCATACCCGTAATCTCCCAAGGCAGATATGCTATTACACTCAGCGGGCCAAGCTCTGCTCCCGCTTAGATCCATGCGACTCCCACCAGCTCCGCACCCCCCGGCGCCGCTTCCGTGGGAGGTGTCGGCCGCATCCACGGAGTCCACGGCAGTCACAACCACAGCGGGCGCGGCGAAACAGAGAGAGCTGGCTGTGTGTTAGCAAGGCTGAGGAAGAACAAAAAAAGCTGCCAGTTTCCATAAGAAATCTTATCCCTGGAGCCTTAAGGACTGTAGCCTGACACTCAGCGCGCAGCCTGCTGATCTCAGGGCCGGGGCGAGGGAGCAGCTACGACAGACGGGCATGGAAAAAAACCCGGCCTGCCACAGGGCGGACAGCCACGCTCCGCAGCCAGCCCTGGCAGGTGGGGCGAAAATCCCCATCCGTGAGCCTCAGGACGTTTATTTAGCAAAACTCAAAGGGGTATCTTGGCACCGATGACCCTCTTTCAACAGAGAATATTGAAAGTGCCCCAAAATCAGGGCACGAAGATGTCAAACGTTTGAAAGTCACCAGTCTGTGCATTTTGAGTCACAGGGTGTTGTTATAATATATGTGTTATAATATATAACATAGATACGGTCGTGCAAATGTGGCAAGTGCTGTCTTAGCCCTTTCATACTGTTTTCTGCCGGGATTCATTGCGAGGAGTTTCTCGGCCTTTGAGACATCCCCAGACCATCCCTTCTAAGGGAGTAGGTATCGCTGACCTCACGCCCAGCCCGCAGGGAACTCCAGGATGCGCCCCCTACTCCGGGCCCTCACCATTGTAAAAAAAAACAAAAAAGAAAAAAAAAATCAAGTTTGTTGCTAATCCTCAGAAGGCTGCAGTTTGGAGGGCAGAGCTTGGGTTCAAATCCTGGCTCGAAATGCCTGTCTTGGGCATGTTGCCCAGCACTGCTGAGCCCCAGTTTTCTTCCCAAGGGTAGCCTGAGGTTAAGGATGTTTTCTGCATTGTGATGCTGTACAAACAACACCGGGACAGATGGGTGAGGCACCACGCGCAACAGAACAGCTCCACTGAGGAAAGGGATGGAAAGGGATGCAAAGGGATGCACGTGGTACACAGCGGGCACCCAATGAAAGCTTTCCCTTCCTCCTCCTTCTCTCCTTCTCCCCGCCCCCCACCCGCTACAGCCTAGTAAGTCAACGCTCACGCAAGCCTATGTACATGAAGAAAAATACTGCCTTTAAGGAAAGTAACTTAATTAAATAGCATCCCATGAATGACAAATGGTCATACACTTAACAGAACACAGTTAAAGGTGCAGTCATTCTTTGATGGTTGTTACAGAGCAAATAAAAACAAAAGGAAAAAAAAGAGTAGGCAAGGAACCAGATTAGACATTCATCAAGTCTAATTCATGGTTACTTGCAATGGAGACGTTAGCTGGACGTAGGGTCCCCGCCGCTCTGGCTGCTCATGCAGAGTGAAGGGGGTGACCACTTTAGCAAGTCAAATGCCTAATTCACTTGGAGTTCACATAGCTTTTCTTTCTTCATTTGGGGGAGACTGAAAGTTGGGCGTAATTCTGTTCATGGTATAAAACTCCGATGTTTCATGACAATGAATTCAGATTTAGAAAACTATCTTCCTCCCGAACAAATTAAATTTCTTCATTTTTTTTCCCTCATTTCTCCCATATGAGTGCTCTAGTTCGGACCAGAATTAATCCTGTGTTAAAAATGACATCACTCTAAATGACTTCCCCTCATTCTAAAAAAGGTAGTCAAGGTCCCCTTTAAAAAATCATGTGCTCTCAAATAGGAAAAGGTGCAATAGGTTAATTTGACAAGTATGAATAATTCAACACGGAATCATACATTTCTCTTTACGTATTTTCCCCATTAAAAAAAATGCTGCTTTATCATTGTGAAATAAACACCCTTCGGCACTTGTAACTTCCTGAGAGCTCAGAAAGGAGATGCAATTCTGTATTTGTTAAAAGACAGTAAGAACTGCCCTGGCTGGTGTGGCTCAGTGGATTGAGCCTGTGAACCACAGGGTTACCAGTTTGATTCCCAGTCAGGGCACATGCCTGGGTTGTGGGCCAGAGCCCCAGTAAGGGGCACTCGAGAGGCAACCATACATTAATGTTTCTCTCCCTCACTTTCTCTCTCCCTTCCCCTCTCTAAAATTAAATAAATAAAATCTTAAAAAAAAAAAGACAGTAAGAACTGAAGTTTCACTAATTTGGAAAAAGTACCGGCATACTTCATGTGTGTAGAAATTGACCTTTCTTTGTTCACAAAGTAATCTCTGGTTTCAAGTTGCAGTTAGAAAATGTTAAAGTGAAAAATTTGAGCAAGACTTGCCCAAAATTCAGGGGCTTTGGAGGACGTCTGTGTAAGAAC